TTAAATTATGAACTACTTTTCCCAATGTGGCAGTTCGTTAAACAATCAGAAGGAGCATTCTAGCAATCCATATGGGATATCTTTGCTAACCATGCTATTTGGACTTGCTGCTGCTCTGGATTGTAGTTTGACGTGTCATAGTCATCATAATTTGTTGAAGGTGTATGCAGCATCTAGGTCAAGCATTGATCTGATAGGGGATATGGCTGGGTTGGCATTCAAGATGCATCCTCTCTATTGAGTTTTTATCTGAGCAAATCCAGCCTTGCAATATAATCTTAATGTTATCTCTATTGCAGGTAGATGTGAAGAAGACAGCTCTGGCATTAGCAATCACAGATTCTGAACTCTCCGATGAGGAGGCATCTATCCTAGAAAGTGGAGGATTCACGGTCTCCAGAGCAACAACACCACAACTGACAGATGTGTCTGAAGGTGGTATATTCCTTCTCCCCGTTTCATATTTCAACTTGGAGCCATTGAATGATACAATACAAACTCTATATTGCTTTGTGGCAGAACTAAGAAAAATTAAGCAAGAACTGGAAGGGATCACATAATTCTGAATGTTTCTGGCTTCATAGTACATGTAGATTGCAGTGTCTTTTGCATGTTAATTTTGTAACTGCTAATTAATTTGGAAGTAATTAGTAATTCCCCTGTCTTGGTCCCAGTTATAGTACAGAATTATAACAAAAAAACTTCACTGAATTGAAACTTTGCTTCACTGAATTGGTTTCCACTGCTCTTGCATTCTTTTTTCTTCACCTCCATCCTCTAACAAAATGGCACCCAGATGATTACTTACAACAACCACACCGGCCTAGATCATATCCTATCCTTTAACTCTTCCTGAAAACAATTGTGGAAGAGGTTTTTGTCAATGAGGAATTCTGTTCCTTATAGATCCATCCAAAGCAGGGGTAGTGTATTATAATATTAATTTTCCATTCATTGTTTGGAGTGGAGTGGTTTGAATTAAACCTGCTTTGACAAGACTCAGAAATGACTTTTTGAGATGCAAAGCTGTATATTATGACTGGCCAATATAATTAGGAGTTCTTTATAAACTGATTGAAATTGTATAATGTGTATTTACCAATGGCACTTTATCCTTATAACAAGATATAATAAAGAAAAGTTTTACTGAGCATGCCTGTTTGGATTGTGACTTTTAGATTTGAGCTAGCAGTACAGCTCTTGGCTTATAGAACTTCAGGCAGAGAAGATGGAAAAACATTGTAATGCAGCTCAGAAGGGGAAAAAAAAGAACAAAAGCCAGGCCAGCATGTTCAGAAATTTGTATAGTAAACAAGAGTGAAACCCATAGTGGAGCTAGCAGCCACATTAAAGATTCAGAGCCGTAATCTCAAGTGCTGAAAGTTACATGCTTACTAACTGCCTATCTGCTTTTTTAGATCTGGACCAGCAGAGCCTCCCCAGTGAGCCTGAAGAATGCTTCACCAAGGATTTAGCAGAATTCCCTTCTGTAGAAGAGTTCCATTCCAAAGACTTGGGACCATCCAATGAAGATGACAATTTTGGGATTCCCATTCAAAGTGCACAACAGCTAAACTCTGCTGAAGAGGAAGAGGAGGCGGCGGCGGCATCAGCAGTAGCTGCCGCCATGAATTCGGACACATCCATTCTGTGCCTGGCCTCACCCCTGCATTTTGTAAATACCCATTTCAATGGGAATGGGCAGGCAATGGTGGGGGGAATCCCTGAATCCCAAGCTACCTGTGCACAAGGCCTGGGGCTACACATCGATTCGTTGAGTCAAGAGATTGTTACTACGGCTATCAGCACAGTTGTGCAGAACACCCTGTCAGCTCTGCTCCACTCCTCGGAGGACACTGAAGGGCCTTGTTTCTCTGAGTTCTTGCCTACTGAACCTGAAGAGAGACTTAGTTTCCAGGCACAGCTATCTGAGAATGAGGAGGTGGGAACAGCTCCTCTGCCTGGGAAAGAAGAGGAGGAAGAGGAAGCTGATGATTTTGAGCTGCTGGATCAGAAGGAGCTGGAGCAAATGGATACAGAGCTAGGCCTTTCTGGAGAAACAGAAGCTCCAGGAGCTCCTCCTCAACCTCCTAAAGAACCATCACCCTGATCTCACTGTCCAGTTCTGTTTCCGTAGCTGCCAGAAGGGACAAACAGAGAAGTTTAGGCTGTACTGAAGGACAGATAGACATGTGGCAAAGTCCAAGCAAAGCACCCATATTTGCAGTGTTATGTCTGGAATTGAAAGTTGTTGTCCTCCTCCTCCTAGTATTGGCCTTTCCATCAGGCCTCTGTTTCTGCCCATGCTTCTTAGTGATGATGCAGTCTTTGTCTGCTGCTGTAATTTTTCTGTAGTAGTCTGTTTTGCTGTTTTTATTTCGCACATATTTTCTGCTAGATATTCCTGCCACTACAACTTACTGCTCATCCCCATATATCCAGTAGGAAATAAAGGAGTTTTATTCAGCAGAGAGGGTGTAAATAATTTAAAGAGGACACTGGTTTGTTAATTGAACAGGAAGGAAAAACATTCTTGGAGAAATAGATTTGGGAGGGGTTTTCTTTTTCACAGAAAGTTGGGGAATAGAAAGTATGTTTTCATGTAGTGATACCATATAGATAATTTTTTTCTGGGAAAATGAAGGCAATCTGAACTTTAACTATCTTGCACAGAAAGCAGGTGCTTCTACAGTTCCAAGAACCAGTTCTATATTCTCAAATATTTTAAACCTTCAGCCTATTTTCCACTATACATAGGGTGAATATACACTATGCTCAAGGTTTCCAGGAAGGCACAGCCTGGTTTTATTTATTCTGAACTACACATGTAGTTGTCTGGAATTTTTAAAAATTCAGTTGGAAGAACTCAAATTTAGTTGTAGAATCTGGAAGCCTCTTTCCTCTTCCTTTTCCCTTTCTGCTGCACTTTACAAATATTTTTGCTTGTTGGTATCAACCCTGCCCTATAATATCCTGGGCAAAATGAGTTCTTCTAATGCCCTTAGCCTCGCCTCAGGGAGAGAAGCAAAACAGCTAGAAAAGACATTATGTGAGACACTAGAAATAATTCTGGTGTCGAAGGGGAGGAAGGGGACTCGTTTTGCCTATCAACTCCCTTCACTTTTGCAAGACCAAGCATTTCAATTGCAATATTTTTGCTAATTGGAGCAATATGTCCATTTCTGTTTTCAGGAGAAAGAACTGGGCAAGATGGTTGGTCTCCCCTCCCTCCCCAAAAGTGGTCATTGTCCATAGGGATGGATTGTGAAATGTTACAGGAAACACAGTGGAAACAAAACGGCTTATAAAGTTGCAAGGGTCAATACTTTTATTTTAAAGCAGCAGAGTTGCTGCAAAGTTACAACTGTTTAGCAGTGGCCTTCTTAATTGAATGGCTCTTGGTTTGTTCCTTCACTTCTGCCCGTTTCAGCCAGTTTTCCCATGAATTGTCAGTCTTGGTATTGTTGCTCGTTTTCCAAGGGACTACAAGCCATAGTGCAAAAACAGCATTATGAGTTGGTTGTCCTCTCATTGTGTAAAGTATTCAAAATATACAGTATGTCACCCAGCTGTTGGTGCGCTAGGATAAAGAGAAACTACAACTTAGATTTATAAATGCAGGCTCCAGATCTCTGTTACCGGCCCCATAGGACTTTCCCCTTAAGCTGCACTTCTAAGTTATTTGATTAAGATGCACGAAGGGCATCTGAAGGAAATCCAAATGCGTCTGCAATTTTGGCCTCCATACCTAACCTCTCCCCCTACCTTTGACAACTGCTAGGAAGATAACTGTACTTACTGCCTTCTTTCTCTTTCTCCATTCAGACTTCTGATAAATGGTAATGAATTTGTAGGTGTCTGCAAGCACAACTGTTCTTGTCAGCCAGAGCTGGCTCCTTTTCTGTCCTGTATTGCCTGCCCCTCCCTCGAAAGGAGTGGAGTGGGGTGACTGTGAATAACAGCTTCCTCTTACTGTCTGCACTTTGGAAACAGGCAGCTTTGTGGCACTGAGTGTAAAGCCTGCCCACCCTTTGTGTTGTGCCCTGGCAATAATTTTTCCACTCAGTGAAAAAGCCCTAACTTTTTCTTTCTGATGCAGAAGGCATGTATTGTGTTGATATTTCTCTCTGGTTCTTTATGCTTTCTTCCTTTCCTTTGGTGGCAGCAATGCCCGGCTGCTCCAGGATAGAGACTCCTAATGAAGGGCTGGAAAATAGCTATTATCATTGCCCGGGAAAGGTGAAAGGCTTTAAATTGTGTAGCAGTGTTTATTCTATGACTAAATATTTAAAAATGAAATGTAGTCTTTTTAATAAAAAAAAGTTTAAAGATTTGAATTTGGGGTGAAAGGTATTTTTTTTTTCTTAGTCAACTTAAAGAGTCCCAGTTTGTACATTTTTTTTACTTTGGTCAGTGTGTGCAAGTGTGAGCAGTGATTCCTAAGTCAATGCCGGAAAGCTATTCCAGGTAGTCCTTGAATTACAACCACTAGTGAGCCCAAAATTTATGTTGCTAAGTGAAACATTCATGAAGTGAGTTTTGCCCCATTTTATAACTTTTCTTGCCACAGTTGTTGTGAATCATTGCATTTGTTAAGTTAGTAACATGATTTTTAAGTGAATCTGGATTCCCCCTTGATTTTGCTTGTCAGAAGGTTGCAAAAGATGACCCCAGGACCCCAGGCCAGGACACTGCAATTGTCATGAATATGAACCAGTTGCCAAGCATCTGAATTTTGATCATGTGGCAATAGGGAGGCTGCAACGGATGTAAGTGCGAAAAATGGACAGAAGTCCCTTTTTTCAGTACCGTTGTAACTTTGAACGGTCACTAAATGAATGGTTGTAAATTGAGGACTACCTGTACCATACGAAGGGTGATACTCATTTGAATGTACACTACAATTCATTTAAGCTCGTTACAGACACAAATTCAGGTAATTGTGTCACTTATCAATGAAGGTTGCGTCTGATTAACCTTGAGCAGGAGAACAACACTTAGAAAGAACATATGTAGAATTCTTTTTCATACTAAATGTTCTTTATTTCACCAAAGAGATGTACTATGAACCTCTTAAGTGTCTTGAAAGTTACCAAGCTTGTAAAAATAGGTGATATGATAGGAGTGATAGGAAAAATATAATTCTTGTATCATCCTGAAGATCTTTGGTTTGATTTCCAAGTGTAAAATTATAATTTTTAAATAGGAAAAAGAAGGGAAGTGCATGAGAACAGTAATATTAAATTCCAGAAAGGCCATGCTCTCAGCATTGTTTCAATCTGTTCTCTCTTTTATTTAGAAAAATATATTAAAAGTCTTTCTAGTCATATATATAGTCCTTAAATATTTAATGCACAGGACCCAGTTTGTGCTGTCACTTTTCAGAATCCGAAATATCTTTTACAGTTTTCTAATGGTACACAGATAAGCAAGAACACCGGATATCAACACTAGCTTTTATTACAAAGACTTAACAATAAGAAAGACAGGAGATTAGCCAGGGAAATATTCTAGAAAAGTTCTCAATAAATAAAAATGGGACACCTTCATGAGCAGGATCAAAATTGATAAGTCGGTTGAAGTAGAAATTCTATTCCTATTCAAGATTTTTTAAAAGTGTTATAGCTTCTGTCCTGTGTTATTCTGCAAAACTAAAAGCAAACATTTTAGCCAGCAATGCTGCTAACACCTTTTCTTCTTTTCAGCAGAGACTGTTATATGTTGGTAGATGTCCACCATAAGCATTCCAAAGAAAACTGTCACGAGAATCAACTTCATGAAAGTCCTTCTTCCAAGATGTTGGATAACAGTGCAGCAGCATAGCTTCTTCACAATAGGAAAGAATTATTATATGCATAGACTTGTCATTACAGAAGGCAGTTTATAGTGTTGTTGTTTTAAAAAAAAAAACAGTTTGTGACTGCTGTTTCTAATCTCAGGCAAGAATCAAAATGATATTCCAAGCGCACTAAAGTCTATTTTCAAAAAGTATCTACAATGGAGTTTACTACCTTGAAGTCCTCCAAACCTAAAGCATTCTGAAAAAATGAGAAGTTGCGTCTGTTCTTCAGATCTTATACACTGTGTGCAGCCTGTAGGAGATGGATCAGTTTCTTACAGTGCCTTGATGTGGGCCGAGGACTACTATACGTTGAAGCCTGAGATCCATGAATGGAAAGGGCTTCCAGTTTTTCACTTGCTTGGAGTGACATCAGCACCTAGAAAGGAAACTTAATAGTTATCTAGGGCTGTGTTCTCACAAATCAATCCATTCTAAAAATATCTCCATTTTCAAAGGAATAAAATTCACAAGAGAAGAAGAAGAAGAAAAACACTACCTTTCCTGAATATGCTGATCAGCAAAGGAATCAAGGGCAAATTTGAAATGCAATTCTGTTGAAAAACAATCTGCACAAAGTAAGTGCTCCATTATCAGAGTAACAACCCAACCTCCCACAGGTAAAGCTGGGTAAGAACATTATTCAGAAGAGTGAAGCAACCCAAAACACCAGAAAGAGTAAACGCCTATGCAACATCTTCTAACAAAATGGATACCATGCGACTTAATCAAAAAGTGCTTGACCACTCAGCCCACTACAGCATAACCAATACAAGCTATACAAACACAAACACTACCATACATCATAAGCATCTTGGAAACAACTATTACCACCACACGGCATCTTTGTAGCACACAAACCTACTAAAGTCCTCCAAAACATCTTAAGTAAACCAAAAGACTCACTAGGCCAAGAAGAAAAAAACAGGCGTCATCTATAGCAGGGGTCCCCAACCACCGGGCTGTGGACCGGTACCGGTCCGTGGAACATTTTCTACCGGGCTGCCGGTTTGCTGGGCGCCGCCATCTTGTTTTGATGAGAAAGTGCTTCCGGTGAGCTTTTCCAGTTGGAAAGTGGCGTTTGGGTCCTGAAGGAATCCTCGAGCCTTAGTTTCATCGAAGGGGGGGTGGCTTCGAACAAAACTAAGGCGCGAGGATTCTTTCAGCACCCAAGGCAAGGCGAGCCGAACGACCGTCCCAAAGCCCATCGGCAAAGGTACAAAGGAGGAGTTGAAGGTGGCGGGGAGAAGCGGGGGATGGCTAGCTGGCCGGTCGCTCGGCTCACCTTGCCATGCGTGCTGATGCCGGTACTGGGCCACGGATCATTTTGTGATGCCGGTACCGGGGCATGGCACAAAAAAGGTTGGGGGCCACTGATCTATAGTGTGGAATGTAAGGACTGTAGCGGCTGCCATGTGGGACAGACAGGCAGAAGACAAGCAAAGCACATGCAGGTACCCCAGCCAGCAGTCAGTGGGAAGACTCCTTAATCTCATAACACGTGGACAGACTCAACCATAGTTCTAACTGGTGAACTGAGCAGCCTAGAACAAACTAAATCCATAAAAGCTTGGTATTCCTGGAAGCTTGGAACAAATATCTATCAAAATATATTAAAAACACTTGATACTAGGACAAAACTGCTAAAGATCCTATGCTTAGCTATCATAAAATTAATTTTGCATTCCCAATCATGTGACTGATGTACAAAAAAATGGAGGCTTACTGATGGCTGCTTATTAATTTAAGAGAGGACGGAGAGTGCCAGTCTTACGTTAATAGAAACCAGGAGACAAAATGAGATTAAATAAACATTCTGGACTTTTCCTTTTCCGGTAACGTTGGGTGCCAGTATTTAGAATGGAATTCTTTAAGACTAAAAATAACTGTCTAATAGAATAACCTTTCTAGATCTAATGCATAATATTTTAATTCTTGCCTAGTAAATAAAGTTTGAGAAGAAAACTTCTGTGGTGCATTGAGGGTCTACACTAAAGTACTGCCAATCTCCAATCCTTTCCTCACTGGACCAGAGTTCATAGTCATCCATCATCACCCTTCAAAATTACAGACTTTGTACCTGGTGAATCTTGGACTGCTGACCAATGGAGCGTAAAGCAAAGAGTGCTGCCTCTTGCACAGCAGGATGGGAGTTGTGGCAGGCCGCATCCAACAGAAGTTCAGGTGCTCTGCTCTGGATCAGCAAATCTCCCACCTCCACGGACTGTCGTCCCAAGTTGCCCAGTGCTGAAGCGGCATTGCAACGGGTCCTTGCCTGAGAATCTCCCAGGAGCCGAACAAGCCGAGGCACAGCTTTGCTAACACCCTGCATTACAGGACCAGCCTGGTAGGCTGCGTTACCGACGGCAAAGCTGGCTGAGCAACGCACGTGTTCATCTTCATCTGACAGACAATCCACCAAAAATTCCTCCAATCCAGCCTTGTGCCACAGTCTATGAGGAAATTCTTGTCCGTGTCGTAAAAGATTGCCTACAAGACTACAAGCTCTGGCTCGGATCAGGCAATCCCGATGGCGAAGCACATGGTTCAACAGCTGGGAAGCTGAATCGGTGTCGATCAGGAGCCTCTGCAGGAAAGGCAAGTGAGCTGGACTGGCCCGGGCTATGTGAGTGAGCAGAGAGAGCAGGTCTGCAGTAATAGCTGCCTGATCTGAAAGCAAAATGGCCGACAAGAAGACAAGGGCTTGTTCTGAGGTGGCTACTTCCACCACTTGCCCAATGATTCCCTCATCACTCAATACCAAGCGGCACAAAAGGCTCAAAGGCAACTCAGTCTCTGAGATGGGAAGATGTTGAACGGAGACCTAAGAAAATAGAGGAAGGAGTCCAGGAATGAATTGAGATTCTTAGGAAGAACAGCATGATGAAATCAAAATCCATTTATGTTTTCCAAAGGTTGGAATTTCTATCTTGCGCCAAATGTACAACTTCTCTCTAGTTATCTAGGCCATCTTTACATGTGCAGTCAACAGGAAGCAGGATGAAATGCAGGAAAAAGAACAGCCAGGGCACAGGTAGGGAACTATAAGGCTATTCTCCTTGACCCCACCCCCTTGCAAGTACCTAAATGATGGAACAGAATTTACCTGGAGTAAATGGGCAGGGAATTGAGAGTCCCTCAGGCTTGCTATGATACATTCTAAAGTTTCTGGGTCTACATCCAGAGCAAACGGGAAACAGAATACCCGACAGACTTGGAGCACAACAGTGGGCACCAGTTTGGGATCACTGTCCTCCTGCACCTGCCTGGGGATTAAGGAGAAAAAGAGCAGCAAGTCAGGCATTAGGCTGATCAAATTCCACCAGATTTAGTATATCAGCTGCAGTCCCAAGCATCAATGGCTTCAGAAAACATTAAGTCAAATGAAATGTTTATGCCAGGGCTCTTCAAACCTGACAGCTTCCAGATTTGTGGACTTCCAACTCCCAGAATTTTTCTTCCACTCATGTTAGCTCAGGAATTCTGGGAGTTGAAGTCCACAAGTCTTAAACTTGCCAAGTTGGAAGAGCCTTGGTTTATGCAGAAGGTGAACAGTAAAGCAGTAACTGCAGTAAAGGAAGGGCTGTGGTGCTGTAGCTCAGCGGTAGAGCTTCCCGTGCAAAAGGGAAGGACTGCTTCGGGGCCTGACATTTTCATTCAGGAATTGGGAAAGGCGCCATCCATTCAGTGCAGCAGACAGCAGTTGACAGAACAATGGTCTGATTTAGGAGGCGGCAACTTCCCAAGTTCCACCCAACTGCTCCCTGGCTTGTCACTCTTCAATTTTAGGGGATATCTTTCAAGGGGGAAAGTGTATAATTTATCTATGATCTATAGTGCTTCCTGTTCAAAAGATCTCAAAGTGACGTACAATGAAAATCCAACATTTGATGTAAACACATTCAAAACCTGAAAAAATATAGAATAATAAGTAATGCCCTGGTAAGAGTACAAGCAGCAATAAAAATAACACTGGAGAAATATTAAACATCATGGAAGAATATAAAAGCCTTTCCCTGCATAAAAAAATGTAATAAAGAGGATAATGTCTCATTTTTTGCTTTCCTAAATTTTGCCACCTAGCAGCGACAGGGACTAGACTAGAGATGCTACCCTTGCTGAAAAGATATTCCAAAATTGGAGGATTACCACTCCAAAAGCCCACTCCCAAGTATCCTCTGAAGATGAACCTGGAGGAGACTGAAATCCTGTGTATGTTTCATAGAGAACAAACAAAACGTTATGTCAAACTAAATTATCTCAAATTCTCGGTATCTACAAGAAGAGGGTTATCTGCATCCATTATAATCCATTGTAATTTTTAGGACCTGGAAATGACGTGAGGAAGTGGGGTGCTCAGATGGTTCCCTATTTGCTGCTGTTGGAATAATATAATAAGGAACACAGAGAATATTAATTAGAATATGAGTACAGCTGCTGAAAGTTTGGAATGGGTAAAGACACTAAAAATGCATTTTTTTTTAGTCCAGTAACTTAGAATCTTTAGTGGGAAAACAAATTATGCTGCATACATTTTAAATATTCTCAAAAGTGATCACATTAGGAAAGTATCTGGGAGTGGGATGCTCAGATCGTTTCATATTTGCCCCGTTGGCAGATCCTTCTTGAAAAGCCCAGTGCTGAAGAATGCGACCAACATTAGATGCAGGAGAGATGGTATGATTGTTTTGGGTGATGTTAGTAGTGTTTGGGTGAATGAAAAGCAGGTAGTTTCACAATGCCATTTCCACCTCAAAATGTTCTGTTGCACCTTATGGTTGTATTTACAGAATCGGAATCGGAAAACAAGCACGTTTAGGCCTTTGAGCGTAGCTCTCTGCTGCGCCTATTTTGTCTGTTCTTTAGGTCAATTTTGGATTGTTGATTACTCACATTTGGGCCAAGTGTTTCAAGAAGCCGGGTTCAAGTAGCTTGTTCAGCATTGCCATCATAACACTACTGGGTTGGGCCAGCTGGAAAAGGCACTGGTGAGGCTCTTGGGTAAAGATGAAGAGGATTAAGCTGAGGAAGAGCAAGGTCCCTACAGCAAGAGAGAGAGAGAGAGAGAACATCCCTGATGCATCCACTCAATGCTTTCCTGTCCTTTTTCACTTAAGGCAACACCCATGTCCACGTCTAATGCCCAGAAAGAGAGCAAGGACATCCTGACGTTATACAGCCTCTCCTCAGCCTTATGGACTAGAATTCCCACATTCTGCCTTCTAGTATGTGGACAGAAGGAAATGATTCCCAAGAGACCGAACTTGTCTTTATAATGCAGGGCCCCTTAACGAAAATAAAACTCACCGTGCGGCGACAGCAGGTTCCAATCAGGCACCGGTGGCTCCTGGCCAGCTCTCGGGGTCTCACCTTCCATCACTGGCTGCCAAGTGGTCAAGTGGAACACCATAGCAAAGCGATGCCATACAATGCTCCAGAGCTCGGAGGCCACAAACTCTCTCACGGTTGCTGTATCTCCCTAGTCCAAGAGAATCCAGATTCAAACCACCCGGCTGAAGGCAGAAGGTCTTATTGCAGATGTTCCCTCTTAAATCCGACACGCCTTTATCAAATATACCACACATATTGGTGTAATCATACGGCAAACTGCATTTTCCGTTTCTAGATTCTTTTTCCGTTTTCTTTCAGTCTTCTGATATTGCCCCCAATCCAAGGATATTTTTGTAAAAAAAAAAAGGGGGGGGGCAACATTTAAGTGGAGCCTTTTTTCTACTCATGCATATTGTGGAACTGGGTATAGCACAGCAAAGAAATAATGCGGGTCAATTCTCACTCACTACCATTTGGCAGAAAACTGTCTTATTTCTTGGATAACTTAACAATTCAGAGCAGTTCCTTAGTGGAACAGAGAAGGAAACCCATACCTGGCTTAATAAATGTAGCAGCAAAAACAAGAGCCCATCATAGAAGCCAGCTCCCATGGGGGAAGGCAGGTACAGCTGAAAGACATGAGAAGGGTTTGTAATAGACTACCACCAAATGTCTAAATCACAAATTGGCCACTGTATGATATGGCAGGAACAGTCCATTCAAGATGTTGCTGAATGATGAATCTCAGAAGTCCATCCAATACTGAGGATGCAAAGAATTATGATTCAATGATACCTGGAGGAACACAGGTTTCACCCGACTCTGTAAGGGTGTGAATCCATTTATGAATCCATTTGGAGGCTTCTGTTTTTCATGTTTTTCACTAGACACAAGGGCAGTTTTTTCCCGAAAGCCATCACTCTGCTAAACAAATAATTCCCTCAACACTGTTCAACTATTACAAAGTCTGCACTACTATTACTGTTAATCTTCTCATCCCTCCTTATCACCCATCCCCTCCCACTTGTGACTGTATGACTGTAACTTTGTCGCTTGTATCCTTACGATTTATATGGACTGTTTCCTAGTATTTTTTGATTGCTTATTGTACCCTATGACTATTATTAAGTGTTGTACCTGATGATTCTTGACTCTTGATGAATGTATCTTTTCTTTTATGTACACTGAGAGTATTTACACCAAGACAAATTCCTTGTGTGTCCAATCACACTTGGCCAATAAAGAATTCTATTCTATTCTATTCTATTCTATTCTATTCTATTCTATTCTATTCTATTCTATTCTATTCTATTCTATTCTATGCTATTCTACTCTACTCTACTCTACTCTACTCTACTCTACGTGTCTCAAACGATATACCAGGGGTGTCAAACTCAAGGCCCACAGGCTGCACCCAGCCTGCAGAGTGCTTACATCTGGCCCGTGGGCGGCCTTGGAAACACCGAAGAACCAGCTCCATTTTTCCTGGCAGGAGGCCGTCACAACTGAAAACAGAGCTGTGACAAGTGATGCTGAGCTGGCCATACCCCTGGCCACACACGCTCCTGGCCACACTCGCTCCTGGCCACACCCACATCCCCCGAGATCAAACACAACCCTGAGGCGGCCCTCAATGAAATGGAGTTTCACACGCTTGCTCTATATAGTTGGACTGTTACCTCTGCAGGTTCTGCGAGTGCAGTAGCTATATTTGTCAAGGCTTGCTTTGGGCTCAGTTTCACTGAAGCACCATACTGGATCAAGTAGGCCAGTAACAATCCTGCAGCACTCTACATGACAAAAGAGGTTACACAGCATTAAAAACTACAGAAACATAAAGAAAAAATTAGAAAAGAAAATATGAAAAGGTATACAGGTATTCCTCAACTTGCAACAGCTCATTTAGTGGCCTTTTGAAGTTACAACGGCATTGAAAAAAGTGACTTATGACCATTTTTCACACGATGTTTGCAGGATGCCCATGGTTATGTGATCAAAATTCAGACACTTTGCAACTGACTCATATTTATGTCAGTTGTAGTGTCCCAGGGTCATGTGATCATCTTTTGCAATCTTCTCTCAGCGGGGAAGCAAGATTCACTTAACATCTGGGTTACTAACTTAACAACAGCAGTGATTCACTTAACAAGTGTGGCAACAAAGGTTGTAAAGTGGGGAAAAACTCATTTAACAAATGTCTGAGCAACAGAAATTTTGGGCACAATACTGGTCATACCATCATCTGTAATGCAATACATTTGAAATTCTCTTTTACTTAAATGTCTATCACAGAAATGAATTAACAAGGTGGGTGAACTTAAGTAGGAAATTCTAAATCCTTTTCAGTTTCAGCTGGGAGGAATACTCACTAGAATGGAGGCATTTGCTTTGTGGTTGAAAAGCCGCATGGTCTCTTTTAACACAATATCAGACCTGAACCAACATAAGAAAATATATAATTAAAAGAAAAAGAACAAATCATATAAAAACCCCTAATGTTCTCCGAAGCACTTGCTCAGTGACTAAGAAAATAAGGACAAGGAATAAAGCATTGGCACTTCAGAGGTTACAAAACCATCAAATCATCAGTTGAGCATCACTTGAAGAGATCTTTTCTTGATTAAGTTTTAGAATTATCTGCCTTTGGAAAGGCTGACCCATGCTCATGCAGCTTCCACAGCCTCTGAAAATCATTTGAGAACCAGATAGGCTTTTGAGAATAGTTGTGGTTGGGTGTTGGTGAATGATCTGTCATCCAAAACATTGTGGGGAGTCACCTTTGTCACGTCGCCATCATTTATCCAGTGGAAAAGGTGCCATGGATGCCTACCCAATGAGAGATCAGAATGGCTGGGACCCACAGAACACCATTCTCAGTAGCAGCTTCTGTTCCTGAAATTATACATCTCCAGGAGTCAGGCTGCCTCCCCACTTTCTTCCTTCATGAAGATTTGATCTGAATTCATTCAGGAAACTTTTCACTAGGCTGCAGTTTTTACATGATAACTATTACATTGTTTGATTGCAATGTTTCAGTTTCAGGTTGTTTATAGTCTATAAACTGTAAATCATCTAGAACTGCTGAAGTACAGTCCATGCAACTGCTGGTAATCAATCAAACTGGAAACATATGACTCCTAGAAGATAATTTACAAGGCTGTGTGCAAAGAACATAAAAATAAACTACTGTGTTCTGGTGCTACGAAATGATAGTGGAATCACTGCTGCTTCAGCAGAGTGACTCCGGAATATCCTTATTTAACAAAGTTCCTTCAAAGGTCGAACTTATTTCCCAAACCTATAATATCTAGAGTAGAGGATGTGCTTAGGGCCAGCACAGTCATCACAAATCAAATACTTCCAAGCCTGACAGTCAAATTTAAGAATTCATACATTCCTGGGAAAAAAGTGTGATATTTTCAGTTCTCAGGAAGTGCCAACTTTCATTAGAACTCAATTGTCATTTTGGGTGGAAAGTGCTGCATTTATCCTCTCCCTTCACTTTTGCTCTTTGTTTAAAAGAAGTTCATTACACCCACTCACATTTCACTATACGCAAGAATTACTTGTGTTTGCTTGCCCAAGAAGAAAGTTTTTCTTTACTTTTCTTTTTATGTGCCATTTTTTAAAAAAGTCCTCAAGTGGAATTTTTATTGAAGGACGTATGTAGTACAATGTTCTCCTCTGAAAGCTATCAGAAGCCACTTCAGGTAGAAAGAAAAGAGTATCCTAAATTCCCCTAGTTTGCCCTTGCCCTGCAGAGTTATAAAAACTCTCAAAGGTCTGTAAATCAGAGAAATACAACCTATTGATTTCAGCAATATTTCCTCATGTACAATGGGTATGGGATTGAAACACACAGCTCCCTCCCTGCTTTAAAACCTTTAACATCTTGCCAGCAAAATTCCCATTGAATGCTTTAAAAAAGGAGGCTCTCTGCAGCATCTCACTGCTGAGGGATGCCCTCTTTCGAACAGCTACAGATGAATCTGAGGTAATTTCGGCAAATACTCAGAGAGGCTTGCTTATAAATTTACAGTGTACAGCAAACATTTCTCATTGTTGTAAGTGGTCTTTTGTTTTATGTGATGAAAGAATATTTCCTTAAAGCAAGGCAAATGAAGAATTTAAGGATTTACAGATCATGCCTTGTGGGAATAAGAATTGTTCATTTTCAACACTAAGAAAAACCCCTGTTAGCCCCTACCTCCTTCCTAATCTGGCTTGGAAACCCCTGAAAGGCCAGAGCTACAAGCCAGACTCCCCAGTTTTGGGGGAGTTTCAGGCATTCCATAATATGACTAAAAGTTTTCCATCTACCTGTTGGCATTTTTGCAGGAGAGATTTAAGACTTCAAATGGGAGACCTGAAATCGAGCAGCCAAATGTTGAGCATTTTGCTGCTAATTTTCATCAATTCATTTTTAAAAGCTTTGCTCTGGTACTTACTGTGGAGGTAGGATCTGGCACTGGAGCAACATCAGGGAGATGAGCCTCAGTGAGGCTTCCACAGCCTGGACTCGTGCAACTTCAGGCAGCAAGACCTTTTAAAGACACAGACCTTAGTTTTGAAGCACTCTATCTCCAAGTCTTCACCTTTCTAAGATCTAGTCAACGTGGAGCCCGTTTAGTATTCCTTCTGTACTATTTCATAGCTGCCTCAATTCTTCTTCCCTGTCATCTCCTATTGTCTCGCCCTTTTTACCTCATGACTTTCTCATCCAGACTGTTTCTGGTTACCAGTTTATGAATTCTCAAAATACTGAGAAGTTTAGTTTTGCCAGTTAATGGATGAAAGAGGTGATGGGAAAGGTTCCTGAAAAAAAAAGCACTGCCAATCAGAGTTGGCAATGTTAAGCACTAGGATAGATACCTTAACAGGACAGAAGGTAGGTACTTGCTTTTTCTCCTCATGAACAAAACAGAGCAGTCTTTGGGTTAAGGATCTGTATTTGTAAACAGGCAGCTCTCTTTCTAAGTGAAGAATGAAAGGAAAATGAATACCTTGCCCTGCAGGTGGCAGATTAGCAGACTCAGGAATTCTGGAGTTGCTATGCGATGGCACAGAGCCTGATTGACATGGCAGCAGGCATACAGGACCTAAGCAATGGAAAGACCAAACAACAACGGACTGCTGAAATCTTATCCCTTCTTTCCCCAGCTGAAGGAGGAAAAAGAGGCTCACTACACCATAATGAGTTGCAAATAAGATCAAACCGTCAAAATCAGGGGTCTTCAAACTTGACAGCTTTAAGACTTGTGGACTTCAACTCCCAGAAATCCTCCTTGTCATGTTACCTCAGGAATTCTGGGAGTTGAAGTCCACAGTCTTAAACTTGCCAAGTCTGAAGACCCTTGATCAAAAGTGTTACCTTTAGCCCGCTCATAGAAGAAGTAGGACACATGGTGGATGAGAAAAGACATGGAAGCAGTCGGTCATCTTTCTTGGTGAGCTTTTCAGCTATTTGCTGGGAAATCTGCAAGAAAACCACAAGAGAAACTCTTGGTCCATTGACTAGATAAAAGGGAAAAATAAAAGCAGCAGGAGCAACTCTTTCAGAAATATTAGACAACGGGACTTGGAGCCTGAGTCCTCTTTTATAGGATTCTGTGTCTACTTTAACTTGCTTTCACATCACAAACAACAGGGTTAAATATTAGTCACTCTCCAGACATCACAAGCTCAGATCAGAAATATAGCAAGAATGTAATTCAGCAGGACTGGTTTGGCTACTAGTACCGGAACTACTACTACTACTACTACTACTACTACTACTACTACTATTATTATTATTATTATTATTATTATTATTATTATTATTATTATTTTCTTCCATTCAATTGTGTCTGATTCTCTGAGACTGTTTGGATGAATCCCTGCAGTTTCATAGGCAACATTTCCCAGAAGTGATTTGCCATGCCTCATTTATTTTATTTATTGATTTCAAAAATTTATACTGCCACTTATTTGCACATGATGACTCAGGGAATCTTACAAAAATATAAAAACACTATATAAAAAAAGAAAAATAATAACATGATAAAATAATAGCCCTCCACACTTGTCTTTCTTAGGGCTGAGAGAAAGTTACTCTCAGGAGGAAAGTCACCCAGCTGGCTTTGTGCCTAAGGTGAGACTAGAATTCTGGGGCTCCTGGATCCTAGTCTAATACCTTAACCACTAGACCAAAGTGGCTCTTGATATTATTAATGCTAAGTACTATTGCCAAGTAATGCATTGTAAGCAGTAAGTTTTCTCTCCAGCAGGAAGCAACCCTTTCATTGCAAGTGATGCCAATGATATTGCCAACCCCTGCTGCTTTAATAGACTATGTTGCCAGTGGCTGATAAGTATACATGCAAAGTCAACTCACACCTGCTTTTTGGCCCTTTGAAGCGTGAGGTGCCCTCCTGGGATGCCACAGGATGCAGCCAGGGCTTCTGTAAAAGCAGCTGCCAAGCATTGACACCACCCATGTGCTGGCTCAGCTGGTTTTGGAAATACTGCTGGTAAGGAATAAGAATACAATGGAAAGATTACATGTATACAAAATAAACCCTTTTTGTAATTCCCTGCTTTGGTGTCTACAATGGTGCAACATGGAGACAAGTCAACTAGTACTGACATGCTGCTAGGCCTCACACCCCAAAACGATTACTGCAAATTCAGAATTCTTTTGCTTCACATAGTTCACTTTCTGTTATTGTTCACAGAGATATCTGTTACAAAAGAAGTTTAATTTGAATTTGAAAATAAACCAGTGAAATGGCTAAATAGACTGGTCTCACCAGAAAAAAAAAAACACTTAAATGAAATGCCTAGTGTATAAATTAAGAACAGAGAAAGAAAAGGATTTTGAAATGTTAAGGGGGACATACTATGTGGCTATACAATTAATGTTACTCTAACTTGTACAAAGGACTCGATATTCCCTTGGAATAAAAGGATGATTATTTAAAAAACAAAATTTACCAAGTCTTACAGAGAACCAAAGACAGATTATGAATGGACCTGTATCAATAAGTAAAATTTCTGAATTTAAAAAAAAAATTAAACCAGGAAAACTAGCAGGAGCAGATGGGTTACGTTACCAGGTTCTTAGTACAAATGCTTTGAATATAAATTTTTACAGCCCCTCCAAAATATAATGCATTCTATACTGGGATAGAGGCGGAGACTTGGAAAAAGGCTAATATAGCATTAATACATAAAGAGGGAGGAGATTTAACTCCAGCAACAAATATTATTGAATAGCAATTATAAGTTATTTACAATGATTTCAGCAGACAAATTGAAAATAATTATGGAAGAAGTTATTCATAAAGATCAATGTGGATTTTTACTTAAAAAGACAATTAAAAGATAATATTGGAATTGTATTAGACATTATAGAATACTTGGAACAGCATAATAAAAAACAAGCTGTGCTAATTTTTTAGATGCAGAGAAAGGCTTTGATAATTTAAAGTGGCCTGTTTATGTAAAGTTTTAGAAGATACGATCTTTGAAGATAATTTTATAAAATGGGTAAAATCAATTTATACCTCAAAGAAAGCACAAATGAAGTTTTAACAATGCAAAGGGAACAAGACAAGGCTGCCTATTATCCCTTTCTTGTTTATCTTGGGTCTTGAAACCTTGAATAAAGATATGAGATGAGCGGATATTAGGGTATACAAATTAAAAAAGAGGCTTACAAGTTGGGAGATTTGTGTTGGTATTGGAAGATGCTTTAAAGGGCATTGAATGATGCGATAAAACAGGGGTGTCAAACTGGCAGCCCGCACAGGCCATGCCCACCCCAGCTCTGCGAATGGGAAAAACATCACAAAACATCATGTGACGGCAATGTGACGCCATGGATTTGACACCCATGCAATAGAATGTTGTGGTCCATTTTCACAAGAGAGAGGCAGTGCATTCCAGAAGAATTAGTTCAAATAGTTGGTGTGAGAGAAAGAGGGTGAAGACAGTCCTTCTCCAATAGTTCTCACAATATATATTTGATGTAAGTAATAGAGTCCATCAGTGTTGCAAAATTATGTCTATAGGTGTGGAACAATAAAGAAATCTGCTTGGGAGAATCACTATGTATCTTCCTTGGTTTTCAGTCTAACCATCAACAATGAGAAAATTAAAAGAATTTGGTGCATTAGCTAGCTTTCAGATTAATAAACTGAAGACAAAGAAAACAACAGAAATATGAAGAGCAAATAGAACTGATGAACAAAATAGAATTCAATATTAGAAAAATGTAAAACATTTGGGTGTTTATTTGATAAATATAAATTGCAAAGTAATTATGTTAAGACATGGAATGAAATTTAAAAATATACGTTAAGATGTTAAAAGCTACCGTTGTCACTATTGAGAAGAATCTGGCTTTACTGGGGCATTTTCAGTGAAGTTCAAGGCAACGGGATAAGAATAAGCCCAGATACATCATAATGAGAACTTATTTGATTTGTTTAATCTACATAAAGACTGGGGGATCCATCTCACATAAGTGAGTCTGAGTGGCTTACAAACTTAGGTACTCATTACTATTCCCTGTAAACAGTAATGCAAACAATTTGATTGCACTATATGGAACATCAATATCACATCTGCTCTGTGTTCTCTAATTGGCCCAGAGCACAGAGGTGAAAAACATTGTAATAATTATGTGAGAATATAAGTGAAACATAATACTTGCAAGCAGCCATGGATTAAGAATCAGAGAAAGTTCTGATGGAGAAATATAATGGCCAATTTGTAATATCCTCAAAATTCAAGGAGGCCAGTCTCTTTGCCACTGCATCCATTACCTTCTTGAGCTGAGCTTGCACCCTGGTAGAACGCATCCAGCAGGGCTTGATGATCTTCAAGCAAGCTGGTGTAGAAAGTGTTGGAGACTGATGGACAGGTGCGATCCATGCTGTCACATAAATGGATGAAACACTAAAGGAACGGAAAAAGGGCAAATATTACAATTCTGATGGAGCAGATTTAAAGGTGGGTAGAAAGAATAATACCCAGACCAACTCAGGGAAGTTGTGCTGCTGAAATAAGATAAATATACTCTCCCTAGGTCCATTAGCAAACTTCACAGATTGCTTGGTGGCCAAATGGATTGAACAGTGGGAGGTGGGGGGAAATGCAGAACCTACAGAGTACTAACTTCTTGGAAAAGCAGGAGGGAAGAGTCCCATGTTATGCGGATACCCAGCTGAAAGGGAGGGAAGGTACAACCACTTTTCAAAGCCAGCAAGAAATCACAGCACCATGTGCAGCATTTTGGGTAGGTGCTGTTAAAAATGAGACACTCCTTGCTTCTGCCACCATTAGTATCATTTCTGGAGTGTTTCCAAACAATCAATGATTTTAAAGGGCCATGTCAGTACAAAGATTGAGAACTCCTGGGCTAGGAGAGTAAACAAATCAACAACTGTTTCTGAGATCTTTCTTTAATAGAATGGTAAGACGTGTGTGAAGTAATCTGAACCTTCTTGTCCCCCTTGAAAGGTAGACCAGATGGACTGCATATGATGACAAGGATTACACTTTAGTAAGGTTATTAAGATAGGCTATAATAATAGGTTATTGCAAGTCTACCATGTTTTCCCTTCTCCCCCTTTTATACCTCAGTCATGGATTCAGGGATTTTGTGGGGGCTACTCTGACTTTCTTTGTAATGCTCCCCTGCCTCTCTGGATTTAACACATGTGTGTTCTACAACTGGGGTTTTTTCCTCATGGTCTCTGGATTCCTTCTTTAAGACCATTTCCCTGATTTACCTACAATTAAGGAAACAATATTACATGAGACTTAGATTCAATGTACCACAGGTTGAAAAGTATGTTGGAAAACGAAGACTTGAAAACATCAAGCTTCCAAATCCTTTTCGAAAGATTTATAATTTGGTATGATTTTTACAAACAAATCCATATGGGTAAGTTTGTCAAGGCTTTTAATCATGGAAGATATTTAGAAACTATGCTACTGAATACCAGAAACTGAGAAGCAGAAGCACAAGAGGGCTGTCAATTTTTTTTTTCCTGCCTTGGTACCAACTGCTGGACCAGACACATCTGATTGTGCAGGACTTTTTAAAAATCAGATTTACAGTCAAGTTTTTCTTACCTAAAAAAAAAAGCTGTCCTATACACAGAATTCAATAATACTATAATGGCTTCTAATTAAATGAAGCCATATTCCTTAGCTGAGGAGAGCCTTGAGGGATGAGTGTATCAGCATACATATGGATTGGGGCAACAGATGATGAAGCTGAATGAGGAGAAGAAGCGAGCTAGCAACAGAACTCAGCTGGATAAATTAAAAAAAAAAGATCAGATCATGGATACTTACCATAAGGCTTTGTTCTCGCAGCCTGCTTTCTTGATCTGTTGGCTGAGTCAGTAGCATGGGTAGCAGAGTTAGGAAGTGACTAGCAGACGTGTAAAATTCCTGCAAACTAGAAAACCATTTATGTTTATGATTTAAGACATAAGAGTTAACTCTGAAACCCCACCACAGCAACTCAGTTTTCTCCATCCTCTAACTAGTTCAATTCTTGCAGTATAGGGGCTTCTATTTGGAGACATTATTTGCCATGCTCTGCTTTCAAAGAAAAAAAAAAGACATAGCAGGAGAATAGAACCACAGGTTATTCAGCCATACTCATTCATTCTGTGATTCAATTTTGCCTGCCTCTATTCTGCTGAAAACAGTATTACAACTTATTTTGCCTTCTTCTGTTTATCCTGCAAGTTTCTTACCTTTTCTTTTCTTTATCTTTCTCTTGATTGAAATCACTAGCAAAGAAGGCTGACATCACTGCAATTAGATCTATTAGCAGTGTAATATGCCATGGCTGCTGTAGGACAAAGAAAAGAGTGCATATTCTGAAAATTGTCTAGGCATCTGCAAAAATCAATTAATATCTCAGTGCATAAATACTGCTGAATTTTGTGCAAGATGCAGACTATACTAATGCAAAAAAGCAGGCAGGCAGGCAGGCAGGCAGGCAGGCAGGCAGGAAGGAAGGAAGGAAGGAAGGGGAAAAGGAAAGAAAGAAAGAAAGATCTGTCTAGACAAAACTATCTTGCATGACTGTGAGGCTCCTGCAGCATTGAGATAAGATTCAGTCATCTTGATATGAAATTTCAGCTTTAACAAATAAAATCTGCTGGTTTTCTTGATTGCTCGTGTGCACTTTAAATGCAAGACATTGGCTATGGAAAACTGGAGCAAAATGAAAATTTCCAGAAGTCAACTGATGAGGCTAGCCATAGTACTATTTTTTTTTAGTTCCCTGCTATTCTTCCCACCAAATTCTGCATTTCAAATACTCCAATACTGCTATCAACTTTGGGTAGATGAAGCGCAATAAATATGATTTTTGTCTTTTAAATCAAACATTAAAATGCCAATTTAAATTATGCTCATATAAAAAAAAAACCTAAACAAATACATACAGCAAAATATGCCTGCCATCCACCCAGATCGTTTTTCTGAAATTGAGCTGATTGTTTAAATAATATCTCTTTCTTACCTGCTTGATACGGGAGCTCTCCAAAATGTCCCTCACTAGATGCATCACAAAATGGGATAGGTCTATGTCCCTGCAGAAGGTGTACAGTAGTTCTGAATTACATCGTGTACTTAACAAGTTGCAAATGACATGAAGAACAGGACGAAGATGGGAAGCACCCTCAAGCATTCCTTCTAAGACCTATAAAAACGTATTAGAAAGAGAAACATTCAGCAAACTACCAGCCCCTAAAGTGTGACATTTTACAGTTTATTCATTCTAGTCATACTGTCTTCAATAATATGCACAACCATCGCTAAGTTCACTCGATATACCTCCTACAGCCATTTCCCCCAGAATCAATGGCATGTTCTGGCTTAGCTTTTAGACTCCCTTGACCCCTACAAGAACTCTGACTTTCATGACTTTGACTTTCTTCAACCCTTAAAGATTTACTTCATCCTTCAATTTCATGCCTCACCAGTTCCTGGGAATAATAGCTAAATGGCTAAAATTGCCAAAGGGGTTTGACCACAGAAGTGTATTTCCACTTAAGGCCTCATCTCTTTTCTCTAAAGTACATGTAGTTTAATTTCTGAAGAACCAGTTCCTAAAACGTATCTAGTGTTCTTTGACATTTTGTGCATCTCACCTGTTGACCAGAATCCTGGATTCGGGTACGGATGCGCTGCACAAAATCAGGGTCTCCCAAAAGACTCAGTGGGGCACACAGCTGTACATTTGCAGGATCTGTGGCATCAATGAGGTGCTGCCATTCTTCATCACTATCCAGTTCCTACAGAAAAAGAATGTGTTCATAAGGGCCACAATGTCCTGGAAGTCAAGAAAAAAGGTCTTTGCTATTGTGCAAAGTGCCGAGGTATATAGACATATATGCTTACCTCAGTTTCCAGATCTACAGTGTTGAGGCTACATCTGTCTCGTGCTTCTGATCCGCCATTTGTTGGCTTCCCCTCTGGGAATTCCCGGTCATAATCATGTGTAATTCTGTTCTCCCTATCCATGAAGAAGAAAGATAAAGATTGAAGTGAGACTGCACAGCAGAGAGCTGTTCTTTCCTTAGCTCCAATACTTAATTCTCACCGAGGCGTAGGAGGTGGCTCGGCTTGCTCCCATTCTGCTCCTTGGTTTTCTAGAACACAGCGCCTCTGTTCTCCGGATCCAGAAGACACCGGATGCCTTTCTCTGGGATCTTCCTGAACTAGGCAGGTTTTCCATGGAAGGCCCTGGCCTTCCTTAGCTATTTCTCCTTTCAAAGGAGGCTTGGATTTCTCTCTCACCTGTAGTACAAAAAAAAATCACATATGTTACATTACTGTAGTGGACTGAGACTTGCTATATCAAAAGGACCCTTCCCAAGGATTATGGGCTATACATTTCACCTTTTTCTGAGCCTCCTGGGCCATCTTCTGACGTGCCTTCTTCAAAATCTTTGACTGACCACTGTGAGGGGCCAGGAAATGTGCCTGTTGGTCTTTCAGAGCCTGTAATTCAGGGGTCAATTTGGTAGTGAAAGGGTTTGTAATACCCTGTTCTGTTGTGTCATCGATCACTGCAAAGAAAGATCCAGGTCAGTAACCAGATTTCGATGAACTGCATACATTAAAGCAGAGTCAAAAGCAAGATTGTGGGGAGATAGTAGAAAGAAAAGCACCATACTTACCTGTCACCTGTCCAGCAATGAAGGGATGATAGAGTAACTCTGGCCAGGATAGACGCTGACGAGGATCCTTCGTCAGGAGACCTTGCAAAAAGCTCTATAAAGTAATGTAACATATGAAAGAAGCTCTCCTGATTAAACTGGTAGGCATGGCTAGCTTACCTCACTGAACTTGACTGGGTGAGTCTCTGTAATCCAACTGTTTATGAGGCTATCATCAGCATAAGACATCTTGGAATGTTACTTTTGTTTCCATGTTTAAATTTACAGTTCTTAAAGTTTCAGGAAAACCGTGGCTTAAAAAGACTGTTGGTTTCAGCAAAAATATTGTGCAAAAATATTCTTTAAGAGACAACTACATTTGCAAAATAGTGTATTTCATCTCCCTACCAAGAAATTAGGCAGGACACGAACCAGTAATAAGGTAGAGGTTCATATTGTATATTTGGAACACTTTGAAATAGCAACAAAAGTTAGTTTATAATGGCAGTGCAGATTTTAATAACCTAGATAGCATCAAATCTATGTACAGCAGTAGCTTGAAGTCAAGAAGTAACAGAGGCTAATCTTTTAAAATACTCTTTTAAAATACTAAAATATATATATTTGGACAGAGAGGATCACTGGTTTGAAAGAAGGATTAAAGAGGCTATATAAAAACTGAACAGCCCTCTCTCAACAAAGGAGGAGGGATATGACATCATCTATCTCCAATCTACAACACAGTCCTTTCAACAGTTCCAAGAAGGCTCAACACCCATTTGTACCACTCAGGTGACACTGACGACACAGATAAACCTGCAAGTGGCCTTAACAACTCTAAAAGAATGCAAATGACCAGCTGTCTGCAAGGAGTATAAATCCTTCCATTCCAGACTATCCAGTCAGAGCTGAAGAAGCTTCTTGGATGAGAAGCAAAACATCTTCAAAGAAAAACCAGAAAGTCCAGTTGCCTTTTGAAAAACACCTTTGGGACAACCACAATCTGGATGATGACTAAGAATCTCCATAGACTTTTAAAATACTGTTTAAAGTCTTCATGTGGGCTGAACACAAATAACAAATAGTGAGAGAAAGTTAAGAAACAATGTGAGGGAGCAAAGGGCCAAAGAGAATATAGGTAATGTTGAGTGTAACAGGGCACTGAAAGACTAAAAATTCTAGGGACAGTGGTTTCCAACCTTTTTCATCTCATGGCATACTACAAGGTGTTAACATGTGTGAATGCCTATTTTATAGGCGGGACTTCCAGGTCACAAATCTTAAAAGTCCCATGATGTCACAGGTTGCTGGAAGGAGACTCCGAGGAAGTCTGACCCATGTGATGTCACAGAGATGGGGTTCCGGCTGTGCAGCTGCACAACACTTCCCAACATTTCTTGGTGGCTCACTGATGTGGCACACTTATAGACTTTTTGTGGCACACCAATGTAAAGCACTGCTCTAGGAGGATGGAAAAAAAAGAACACATGCTTTCATATATATGGAGATTCTCAATCATCCCGGTCATGGTTGTCCCAAAGGTGCTTTTTCAAGAGGCACTTTCTGGTTAAAATACAGCTGCCTCTTGAAAAAGCCCTTTTGGGATGCTTTCATATAGAAATCAACCTTAATCTTACTAAGTGGATCTGGGAAAAAAAAGCGCTACCTTGAAATTAGGGCTCATGTTTTTTGGCCACTTGACTGGGTCCTTGATGATGAGGCTGACCAATTGGAAGATGCTATTGGTGTAGAAGGGTGGGGTCCCCACGTACAGTTCATACAGAATGCATCCCACTGACCAAAGGTCAGCCGTGTGGTCGTATGGCTTCTCTTCCACAAGCTCAGGAGACATATAAAGTGGAGTGCCCTTGATCGATGTCAGTACCATGGTTTGAATGCTCATTGCCCGGGCAAACCTTCCAGAAAACAAACAAACACAGCCAAGAATTTTTAGTGCTTAGATCAGGAATTGGAAATGGAGGGAGATCATAAGGTACCTACCCAAAATCACAGAGTTTGATCATGCCTTCTTTCCCTAACAGGATGTTCTGAGGTTTCATGTCACGGTGTAGGATCCGGTGGGAATGCAAGTAATAGAGTGCAGAAATCAGCTGAGCAGCAATAACTTGCACCTGAAAGAGAAATTGTAATCCTAACCCTGAGGAGAGGCTTACTTCCTTACTATTGTAAAAACGTCTCCCAGTTTGAGTATAACACCTTCATAACTTTTATAATCTCTGATGCTGCTTAATTTTGAATCTAATATTTTCCCCAATAAATTACAAAACCATACACTTCTACCTATATTATCCTATTTGCAGGCCAAGCACGCCCTCCCAATTAGAGGTTTGCTCTCAATGTACACTGCAATGTGATTTTGGGGGGGATTTGGTATAAGGAAGGAGCTTGAGATCACATAATTTAATGTCCTTTAGTGATACTTCTCTCCATTGAAGGACATTCAGATTCAACCATGAACAACATCTGACAAGCATTTGCTTGAAGACACATAGGCTGAGTTCATTCTTTAAAAATCCACATTAGATTCTACTAACTACTGCACTATTGTCAAAATTGACCTTATTATCATTTGTTCTAGTATTTTTCTTGGTAAAAGACAGGTGAATGGACAGCACTTTCTTGGTCCTCATTATTTTTTGGGGGGGCTGCGGTGACTCACATGGTAAAATGCTGGGCCTGCACACTGCTGTGGTCGACAGCTCAGTGACTCAATTCCCGTGAGTGAATAAACCATGGAGGGACAACAAAGGAGTCTCCCCCGACTGCCCACCGGCATTCAGGCGTCCCGTGGATAAAGATAACACCGCCCAAAAAAATTCCTTTCACAGAGGCAGCCCTACTTCTAACCCTAACCCTAACCTTGGTGATCCCTGGCTAACACGTGCCATATGCTAAATAAATAAATAAATTTCTGTTTTGAGACCTGTGATAATTCTTGCCTCTCTTCAGTTTTGTAATTCCCCATTCACTCTTTGCAGATGCGATAACTCATGCCAGATCTTGTTAGGTCATGGGGCACATGACCTAACAAGATCTGACCCCTATACTGCTATTACAGTATTCTTCTCACTCTGTAACATTTCTCAGCTTGTGTGCTTATTTCTCCAGTCTAACTCTTCAGGCTGCAGTTACCTGTTCCTCAGGCAAGTTCCCATCATCTTCAAGGATCTGAAAGAGCTCTCCTTCAGCATAATCTGTCACCACAACCACCTAGCAGTCAAGATCCAGAAAAGTAAGCCAATATAATAATTCACAAAGGAGCACAGGGAAAGAACATAGTGATACTTGACTAACGTTTCTGCACTGAGCATAAATCTAATTAACAGCTACAAAATGACTATAAAGTGTTACAACATTGAAAACATTGCAGGACCCTTTTGAGAAATGGAATCAGAAGTTAACATTAATAATGTCAATTCCAAACTTTTTTTTATGGATAGACTATGTCCAAAAGATGTTTCTGAGGAAAGGGCAGAAGAGAAACAAGTTTTATCTGAGAAGACAGAGACAGAGTGCTGAAACTGGAAATGGATCTACAAATGACATGGAAAATGATCTCATTGGACATCAAAAGAAATAATTCGATGTTTTAAAAATCAAAAACAAATTGTACAGAGTAAACCAAGAGAATGATTTTATATCATTTTATATGTTAGATTTACAAAAGAGATTTACTAAAGCTTAGATAAATTTTGAGAAGGCGCAAAAACGAAATGAAATCAGTTTTATGACATTACTTGATTGGACTAAAGACTAACATTGTTAGAAGTAAAAGAAAGGAATATGTTTTTTTTTTTTTTTTAAAAAAGTCTGGATAGTGGACATTGCAATACCTAGAGACAGCAGAAAAAAAAGAAAGAACAAGAGAAAATTACAAAATATAATTGTGACAAGAGAAAGCAAAAGTAGTACCAGTTGTAATAGATGCCTTTGGCAAAATTCCAAACATTTCCAACCTCATTGGCATTGACCAAATCACCATTAGTCAATTGCAAAAGGGAGCTTTTACTCTGAATCCCATTGAGAAACTACTGGTAGCCATTCCCAGATTTTTACAAGAGGAACATACTGTAATCCAAACATTCTCAGGTTGGTTGAACAAAATGAAATGGCTTTATTGGGAAGTGAAGTAAAAATATGCTCTACAGCCCTCAATCTTCTTGGAGAAGGTCTAGCTATGGCACATAATCCATCAGAAAGGGCTTTAAAGATGAGCAGTGCACACTTTTTCCTATCTCTCCTACACTTAATTTTAAAGTATATGTTTTCACCTCTTTGTCAGTTTCAAAACTGTCAAGCATCTGGACAATGTTGGGATGATGAAGTCCCCTCATGATCTCAATCTCTCGCTGCAAATTCTTCAGCTCTTTCTGAGACCGACCCACTTTAGGAATAAACTTCAAGGCCACAATCTATAATGTTCGAAGAAAAGAAAAGGCTGGGGAAACATGCTAAATCATTATTTGCCTTCTTTCCTAATTTTTTTTGTCAAATAATGTTTCTTTCCCAATTATGTATGAATTAATAACCCATAATAAGATTTCTTTGACTTTGATTTTGCATGTTATGGAAGCCCAGATAATTGTGGCTTAGTCAACAAATCATTGCTAATCAGAATAAGCAAACACAATCTATTTGTAGAACAATCCCCACTGAACATTCGGTCAATTATAACTTTTCTCTTTTGCTCTTACTTGTGCACTATATTTGCGACGTCCTTTATAGACTTTTCCAAAAGAGCCTTCTCCAACCATTTCCAACACATGATACTTGTCCATGATTAGAATGTATGGAAAGCAACGAGTGCATAATCTGTTGAGTACAGAAACAGAAATTTAGCTCCTGCATGTTGAGTCATCACTACTTCCCTCTGCCACATTCTTGAATTGACCTCTTTTCTTCTCTAATAATTTTCTCACATTTGTCCTTTTCTCTTCTGGATTGTTTATAATTCAGAAGTTGCCGCCATATCAAATTATGATATATTCTTCACACACACACACACACACACACACACACACACACACACACACACATATTAGAGTCTTCCTGTAACAGGGAGCTTGATTATTAGATCTTTGCTGAGCAATACTAGCATTACTAAATTTCTCTATGAATTAGATTCTGCAAGAATATCTGCCTTTACTTCAATTAACATTGGTGAAATTATACAAGGTGTCTTCTCTGGCTTACATTTGGCTGCTTTTTCTCATTGGAAGTCTGGTCATTATTATATGTACCATATCTTTCTAACCTTTGTTTTAAAACCTTTTGATTTCACAGTGTATCTCCCAGTTTCTGGAAACTTCATTGGGCTCTGATGACTTCCATTAACAGTCCTAAAATACAAGACAAATCCCACAGAATTGGAAAATCAAAGAGTCCAGTAACACTGAAACATCTTTGATGACTTTTCATAGCAAGTTTCTTTGGAGCACAATACATTAAGCAAAGAAAACCAACGTTTTCTGCTTTACTCATCCTTCAAACTGGAAAGGAAGAAAGGTCTCTTGTGACAGCTATTTGGCACTTGCTTTTTGAAGACTCAGAGAAGATTGTGGGAATTTATAGATTGCATTTTACTTTTGTTATTTATTTTGATGCCTTTGTCTTCTTTTTATCTGACATTGGTCATTTCATTATATTTTCATTCTATATTTTATTATATTTTTTTTAACCAGCAACCTTTCTCAAATATCAGTTGCCACACAGTTTCAACAAGAAATAAAGTTCTTCCCAAGGGCACCTCCCCCCCTCCCCAATTTTTACTGTCTTTTCCAACACACGCAGCACACACAACAGTGAGAAGAGGCTTATTCTCCAACAAAGAAAGTAGAGGATGACAGCTGCAGCTGCTGTCAAGAGTTCCTTTGGCTTCATCCCATCCTGCTTAGACCTGTTTCATTCCGAAATGTTTGGAAAGATGCACTGCAACGGAAAGGCTGGAATTCCTTGTAACCCTTTCCATTGAGAGCAGCGTTTCTCAAGCTCAGCCGCTTTTAAGGCGTGAGGACTCTGGGAACTGAAGTCCACACGCTGGTTTAGCGAACATTCGTCCGCCGCTAGGACTTACTTCTAAGTACCTGTGCAGAACGTGCGCACAGTTCATTAGCTAGCGATTCAGCTCATAACAAAACACCGCCGTCCCTCTTCCCTTCCCCCGGACCCACCGACCCGCCTGCGCCTGGAAGGGGGATTAACAAGGGGCTCCTCGCGAGGAAGGGAGCGGTGTGGTTTAGGGGCAAAGGAGGGAAGCCCGCACGCTCCAGACCCCCATTACCTGCCAAGCGTCAGACGACGGCGTCGCCAACCTATCGCCTAGCAACTCCTGGAGCCGGAAGTACTCGTGGCCGATTTGGCCGTCTTTCCGGTTTTTGGCTGGCAAAGATGGCTGCGGCAGGTGAAGAAGAAGAAGAAGAGCGGACGGGAGGAGAGGATTGGTAAGAGGGCGGTTGGTGTCGGTTTGTCCGGATGACCAAAACTGGGTTCTGTACTTGCTTGCTGTCTTCTACTTAAACTCCTCACCTTTTTTTTTTTTTTTAAAGCCTGGATGTCATAACCCTAATTAAGAGTTCATAAGGAATCGGGGAGTTTAACTGAGAACTTCTAATCATTCTCTTGTCTTTGAAGTATAATTAATGTTGGGGCAAGTAGATCTACGCTGCAACCATCTGGACCCGCCACTATGGCAGCCAAAAGTTGGTTTTTTTCTTAGCCTTTCACGGCTGGCTTCAATGAAGCACTGATGAGCTTTCGGGCTGAATGGGGAAACGTCAGAACAAAAAGCAGAGTAAAGGTCTATAGAGATTCTCAGTCGTCCAAGTCATCGTTGTCCCAAAAGTGCTCCCCCCACTTCTTCAGAGCTGAGGAAGCTTCTGGATAGAAGCGAAACGTCTTCAAAGAAAAAATCAGAAAGTCCAGTTGCTTCTTGAAAAAAGCACTTTGGGGACAAAAGCCAAGTAACCTGGGTCATTCGGCCTGAGTTAGATATTTCTTGCTGCCATCTAATAGTAATCTGGATTTTTTTCAGCCTATATATGGTAGCATTACGTTAGCAACTACCAGGTTCAATGTCCATGGAGATTCTTAATAGTTCATAGTTGGGTCATAGTTGTCCCAAAGGTGCTTTATCAAAATACAACAGGACTTTCTTTGTTTTTATCTTTGAAAACATTTTGCTTCTTATCCAAGAAGCTTATTCAGAAAAGCACCTTGGGGACTATCTGCCAGGCTGTTTTTTTTTTTTTCAGCTAGAAAAATTGGCTTGTAGTAGATGACAGATTTAATCTTCTCTTTCTTTTCCCTTCCTGTTTTCTTTACTGAATTATTATATGCAGATATTTAATCTCATTCTGATTTATTTCTTTATATTTGTAACTTAAGAGTGCAAATGTTTTTATGTTGCTTTTATTGCAAATTAGAGAAAGGCAGATATGATACTGTTTCAGACATAGGATACAGAGAAAAATAAGAGGTCTGACTAAGGGACTCAAGGAACAGGAATTAAATTTTGTTCAGTTCACTACTACAGATGGGAGTAGTTTCCTTTGTTTTGTACTTTGAGACAAAACTCTTCAGTATTCCTTTTTTAGTAGATTAAAAATGCCTTTCCTTCCTACAAAGAAGGAATGAAAGCAGTTAAACAGTCATTAGCTATACAAGTATAGGAAGTAGTTATTCTAAGAGAGAATTACTTTTCCCCTCCTGCCCTCATTTATGAATGCTATAAACTTAGTACTGTCTTCATCTATTTTGCTCTTGTTATTTTGGTCATTGCTGTATGAAGTTAAAGCAGTTGACAGAACTGGAGCTTTGGAATACAGATGAGTGTGGGGTGTCATATAGAAAATCTATATTAGAAAATAGTGGGCAGTGTAATGGTGACTTTGATCTTTATCTATTGTAAAACTAATGGTGCTATTCTAACCCTGAGACTGGAAATGTTTCCTTTTCTAAAAAAATTTCAGTTTTCGGGGCATTTTGTAAATTCAAATAATTTTATATGATTTCTACAAATACCACTTTTCAAAGTGACTTTGTGTTGTTTTAAAGATCAGTTTCTGTGACTCAATTGAAAGGAGTTTGCCTCCTATACTATTACTGTAAAAACATCACATACTATGCAGGTGGAAGAAATTTTAAGAAAATGAGATATCTCTGTAATATTTCTTTTTCGTCAGGGGTTTGCCTTCAGAAGTGGAAGTCTTAGAGTCTATCTATTTGGATGAGCTTCATGTGTTTAAAGGAAACAGGTATTTGTTTTGTCAGATGTTTTGTTGTCTTATAAGTGTAAAACATAACAAGAAGAGTATTAATATGTAAATTAATTTAACTAATTAATTAAACCTGAGGCCAGATTTTCTTTTGGATAATCTTCTCTGGCTTACATGCCAAAAGAAAGGAGTAAACTTGACATATCACTCCTACATCACTCTCTGAGTTACATAGATACAAATCCTTAAGATTGTAAAGGAAGCTGTCTGTTAACGTCATCAGTGTAGGAGAGTTCCAAGGTGTAATTTTTAAAATTTGCTCTCTTTTCTGACAATTGACTTTAGCTTGTGCTTCTCTCAAACTAGATCTGTTCCCTGGGAAATCTCCATCACCCTACACCCAGCAACTGCTGAGGACCAAGATTCTCAGTATGTCTGTTTCACCCTTGTATTGTCTGTGCCTCTGCAGGTAAATATCTAAATGCTTTTTTCCTAGTTATTTCATCATTGGTATAACGCTGTGCTATATATTTATACTTGGCTTGGTTTTCTTTTAGTATCCAAATGAAATACCAAAGATTGCTATACAGAATCCTCGAGGGTTAGCAGATGAACAGATCCAAAAGTAAGTACTTCTGATTTTATCATCAAAATTATCGATTAGCTGCACACTTCCTTTGGAAGTAGGTTTTTGATACCCATTTTTACTTCTGTAGTTCTATTCCTTAATACGTAGCTGTCCTTCAGATAATGTTTCTGTTCTAATATTAAGGATACCATTGTGTGATAGAGAAAAGAAGGTAATTTCTATATATAAAATATAGAATATATAAAATTGTGGATTAACTGGGCAACAAAGATTTGCTTCCTGAACACTTTTGAGTGAATCTTGTAGGTTTTTGGTTGCTAATCATAAAAATAACATGTAATTTAACCTATCACATACCATTTTGTAGAAATAGTTTGTTTTTGTACAACAGTAATGTATATCCTTCAGTATCTGTTGGCTATGCTACACACATTAAAAACAAAAACATGGAACTGTTGCACATCCAGTACTCCAAGTATATAACCAGCATATCTGTGGATTGTCAACTTATAAAACATTTTGTATACATATTTTATAGTTGTCAACAGAAAGAAGCTTTTTTTTTCCCAAGAGCAGGCTGCAGTGTGGAATCAAAAGTACATTCCGTTCATATTTTCTTCAGAGACTGATTAGATGACTGAAGCTTCTGCTGCACAAAAATCTAATTGGAGAGCATGATTGATGACTCTTGGCTATGGACGTGTTTTGTTGGATGATATACCCAGAGGGGTGGGAGGAAAAGCAGGATCAAGGGTGACTGAATTACGTATCTCAAGAGTTGGCTACGCCCAGGCTAATGCCGGAATGTTAACTTCTAATGAATCTTTGTTAGTTTTGGGAGTGTGGCTTGAGGCATATGATTTAATTGGAGTAACTGCCAGAATCCTGACATGGATATCTAAAAGTTGTGGCTCTGCTGCTTGGAATGCAGCTCAGATACACCAAGTACTGTTGTTACATACGTGAATAAGACAACCGTTCATTATACTAAAAAAAATGACCACTCTGAAATAATTTGGTTCCACGAGAGTAAAACATGGCATATGAACCATTTGTTGACCCAACAAAGATATTTTTCCCGACTTCACAAAAACCCAGACTGATGAAAAATTTTGTGAAAGTAATGAGCAAGGAAGATATGAAGGTTTTTGTTACTTGAAGCAAGTGTTTCCAAGAATAACTGTTACCAAGATCAAGGAACACATTTCACCATCAGTGACAAGCAGTTTGAAAACTGTTAGTGCAGGGATGGACAATTTTCCCACAGGGCCACATGAGAAACTGAGACTGTTGTGGCTGGTCAATTTGGTTCTATATTTTATTGCTTTGTAAAAACCAGTAAATTATACGGTTTTTATTAGTGCTTCTATTAAGAATACATATGTCTTATTTACATTATTTCTAATTTCTGATTGACTCATGCGAGCTGGACAGGGTCAACCAAAGAGCTGGATGTGACCCAGGGGCTGTAAAATGCCTAGGTCTGTTAGTGAGACCAGAGAAAATCGCCTAGAAAGCATCTAAGGATGTC